ACGCTTTACAAGCGCCTTATCCATATAAGTCAATATGCACCTAGTGGTTTGATTTTGGCTACCTGTTACTTGGTAATGAGTGTATACATCAGCTGTGTATTGTTGAAGTGAAGTGTATATGATGCCAACCTCTTGTCAATGGATAACCTATGTAACCATCTAGTTGTTGAGGCTAGCAAACATCAAAGCCTTTCAATCAAGGTTTGCAGCGTGACCAGTCAACGAAGTGACACGACACTGCAGTGCATTGTGTTTAATGTTATATGATGGGAGTTAATTGATGCAATGTGTATGAACATGTGTGCCAACTGACTCTCACTAACACCAATGAGTATTCGAGATATACAGACCTTCTCAATGAAAAACATCTAGAATAGTATTCGATATAAAACTAAACACTTTTGGTGTAAATAAATTCGTCATTGGATGGTAGCCAATCGGTATACCTGATCGTAATCGATATGTATGTATGTATGTATGTATGTATGTATGTATGTATGTATGTATGTATGTATGTATGTAAGACCAAATTAAGTTAGGGCAAAGGTGGAACCACACTGTATTTACTTCTTCTGCACATTTCGGTCGAACAGACTACAGTTCACGAATCACCAAGGCCTAACCTCCTTTCAGAAGTTGAAGACGTGAAATGTCTGCCTAATTTCGATAAACAACCTTAGGATAGTTGATCAGGTTCGTTGGACATTTGGAATCGATTAGATGTTCAACGATAGAACTAATATATTTATTTTCATCCTTATAAATGTCGGCTGGAATATGTTCTCATATGCGTGTTCATAGAAGCCTTTGGCTACGGCCATTGTGCTTTGATCCACAGGAGCAGGTAGACTTGCAGGTACACATGGAGGTGGTCTATCGAGGCTTATTGCCTTTTACGCATACAAAGGACAATTTATGACTAGTAAAGGTCAAATGAAGTTTGGCTGCGGAAAATCCCTATTAATTAATCTCGAAAGATGATTTTTCATGATATCTGATGCTATATTACCTATAAGTTCCATACTCGTGAACAAGGCTTTTTAAAAAAACTGAATTGACGACTGGTTTTTTATATTTTTCTCGCTTTTTTTGTACAAACTAATCAGCTTGGATAGCCGTTCTTCCTAAGCGTACTTATTTTAATAACGTCAAGTCCAACTTGCACACAATCTGCGTACAAATATTTTGTGTTCCATAGGAGAGTGAAGGAATAAGGTTTCTTCTCATGATAGGCATCCAATTGTAGAAATGAGTAAACTGTCCGTTCCACGTAGGTTTTCTGTAGATGGATCTTTTAATGTCTAATTGCTACGTCTCGTACTTAACATATTAAGGAAAGGGATAGCTGACTCTAAATAAATTTCTATAGAGAACCATTATCTTAACTATACAATTAGGAAATGAAACACAAACAAAGAGAAGTAAAACTGTGTGTGCTTATCGAAAGTGAAATGAAAACCTGGGTCACTACAGGATCCGAAATGGCGACCTAACTACTTAGGAAGATATAAACCGAATCTTGGTTGTTATGTACGTATAGAAATAACAGGTTCAACACGACTACATAACACTAGTGTTATTACAAGGCTAGGTAAGAGTAATTACTTGGACAAACCTTTTCTATGCATGTGAATCTGTTCTCACCACTTTAATGTCAACTGATTTGTTTGTCTAAGTAATATGGTAGTTCATCCAAAACTTGACAGACAACTGAGAATGATGTCCACCCAATAACTTGGTTAAACAAAGAGGGTATAAAAAGCCGTCACTAAGTCCATCCCTGTACATTCGATAAAGACTGGCTATCCCGTGATCATTAAGACGTCTTTCTCAATGGTCAATCAAATCCTCAGTCGACTACTAAATTGAATACTTCGAAGAAATCGACATGCTATTATGTATCAAAAATTTCATGCTTAAAAATTGAGTATGATGAGTGCTAAATCTAAAATAAGGAAGTTCGGAATAAATTTGTGTAGGCTGTTTCAACCATGGTGCTTCCATCAGGGAAATAGTAGGATCAGTTATAAGGAAAACCAAAAGAATCCAATTCAATAACTCTTTCACTGAGCACACTAGCCAGACGACTAAAACCAGTCCATTCACAGAAGTAATCAGAGATTATGGCTACTAATCAAAATGTAGTTAGGTACTAGTGTGTAAAAAACACAGCAAATACAGAGAAAGTGAAAACTAAACAGAAGGAGTAGCTGTATAAAAGGCTTGAAGAGTGAATGTAAAAACCGTCCTAATAGCAACTGAAATAACCAATTAAAATTCTGTATCGTATTAAAATTTGCATTCCTGTCAAAATAAAGAAGACACAATGGCTACGATGGCCTTAGAAGTTCCCCAGGATTACATCGCATATGAAACTTGTTTGGATGCAAAATGTAGACACAAATAGAGACAGGTATAATATACTCAACAAGATGACTTTAAGGAAAACATAAATTTGTTTAAATCCAGTGAAAATGTAACTAGAACAAGACATATAAGCGAACAATATTGTTTTCAATTAGATCCTCTTCAGACTTTACTTTCATACAAATAGCTCAATATATATAAAGCCAATCATGTAGATTTGTCGGTTGATGTGATAAATGTTTTAAAATGACACTGGTGATAATGGTACAAATAATAATGATAATGATGATGATGATGATGAAAGTGATAGCGTTAACTAAAGCACATGCAACATAGATGATAATGATGATAAGAGCGAAGAAAGCAGCATGAAAATATAGGCACTCCGATAATCAAAGTGGGTGTAAAGCTTGTGAAAATAAAAAAAATACGTAATACTGAAGGACGAGGTAAGTGGATAGAAAAGTCTAGACAAATACGGTATGTATGTAAAAGAGGTGGGAACAAAACCGAATGATTAAGTTATTATATAAGTATTCCCTGGCCAAGGGATGTACAAATTTCTTCTGGACACAAAGACTACGATTATAAGCTCTAATTCCCATAGCTTCTGCTATATGGTGTAAAAGACGAGTTTGAATACTTTTCGAAAAATGAGATGGTATAAAGTGAATAATCGTGAAAGCATTTTTCTTATCTACCGAATGACCACTATCAACGAGGTGAGATAAAACCGAAGTTTTGATGGATTTTATCTGTATCTTTCCCAACCATGAACGTAGATGTTCAGATGTTAAGTTGTCTACTAGTACACCTTATATAGCTTTCTCCGCAGAAGCGGCTAAACTTGTAGATACACATAGAAATGGCAAAACTAGATAACTTATCTTTTGTATGAGCGGTAACAACAGGTCTGCTGGAAAATGATAAACAGAGTTGTGCGGCGTAGAAGGTCCTTTTAATGGCTCTAGAGAGTCTCTGATATAAAGCCTTCCCGGCCACATCCCTATTAAACTGCAATTTCATAAACAACAGTTTCTTTTTTATGGCAATAATTTCAGGTCTGCTTTCCACTCGCTTTGTCCATGTGTCTTTTTGTGAAACGTTGATGACAGCCAGTTTCAGTCAATGAATCATGAGTATATCCTAACCCCTTCTATACTAGATCATCCTAACACATTCTTCTTGCTCTGTTATTGAGTCATTTAATAGGTCTGTTTTTCTACATAACTGGTAGAAGACTAAGAAAATGCGTATACTGACATAGACGAAGTCATCCTATAAACGCGTCTGCTGAATGAAGCATCTTCTCTTCTCCTTCGCAAAACATCCAAAAAGTGTAGTTTACTGGCATTTCCTTCCTCACAACTGGAAGTCAGTGAACAGTGCACTTCATCAAATTAGTCTAACACCTCATTTCTATCCACATTCTCCTCCACGATAATCAATGTCATCAATATAACGGCGATGCACACTCATCTCCTTAATGACCCCTTCCAATCCTCCATTCTCCACTTTAGCAAGAAATATATCAGCTGAAATAGGACATGCCCATAATAAGAGCTATTGAAGACAAAATGTACACGCATAGTACATTTAAGAAACAGATCATTGAGAATGTTTACACGAATCCTGATGTTGATATACCCTCACGACATTTGTTGACATACAAACTCTTTCATCTCCAGTAATGGCACATTAGTGAATAATGATGAGATATCAAGCCACATCATATGTTCTCCATTCACATTCACATCATCCAATTTGTCTAGCTCTCGATCCAATTTCATCATCAAAGTGTCTACATTTTCATGCTGATCTCTTCGTTCTTATCATCATTATCATCTATATTATATATGCTTTAGTCAATATTATCACTTTGAACATTATTATTATCATTATTATTATTATTTGTAGTATTATCAGCAGTGTCATTTAAAACATTTATCATATCAACCGACAAATCTACATGATTGCTTTGACTTTATATATCTCGGTTGCATTGTGTTCTCTGAGCTGGGTTGTTTAATCCTGAAGCTTTCATTGTCTTTCACGACGACATCATCAACACTAACTTCAGTATGAAGTCGGTTGTCAGTATCTGTCCGTGAGTGATTTAGTAAGTTGCCTTGACGAAGTGGTCTATGATTGGTTGTTTCCTCTGATTGTTGTGTCACTGGCTAACTGCATAGATTTTCCTGTTAGCTGCCACTCTCTGAGAGCTACTAAACCACTCATAGAGAGATATTGACAGCTTACTTCATACCGAAGTTAGTGTTGATGATGTCACTGTTTAGAAGGACGATGAAAGCTTCTTCACGATTAAACAACGCAACTCCTCAGAGAACACAATACAACCAAGACCATCCACCTGAGCTACAAATACTCTCAACCATGACTTTATATACATTAAGCTGTTTGTATTAGAGTAAAGTCTGAGGAGAATGTAGTTGAAAACAATGTTGTTCGCTTATATATGTCTTGTTGTAATTTACATGATGGGAATTTTCTAAAGCTCAAATATTTAACTGTAAACTCGTTGAAGAATGAATGAAAACTTCATTCAATAATTTATACAAACTAATTTATATTTATTTATTGTCTTTTTTTTTATTGTTGAATATATCATCTAGTCACATCAAAGTGAACATAAGTCACCAATATTAAGTGTTTCTTTTGCTAATCCTGTCATCAATACAAATAATATAACTGATAAAACCACTTTAAATGATAATAATTATAATGAAGATGATTGTGAAGAGACAAAACAACAAGAAACCATTGACAATATGAATAAAAATAATCATGATGAAATAAAACAACCAATAGTTTATGAACAAACTGAAATGAATACAGAATCTGAAAAGATGAAATTTTTTAACCAGAATATCATTGGCCACAATAACAATGAAGATGATTGTACTAATATGAATAATACTAGTAATACTGGGAACAATAATTCTAATGAGAAAAACGTTTATCAATCACCACATACTTTAGTAGTTGAATATAAATCATCAAACAGTTATGCTTATAATACTACTAATATAAAAAATAATGATAATAATAGGAATCATATCAGTAATAAATCAAATTATTTAGCAAAAAAGATGAAACATGAAAAAATTTGTAAATCATCAAAGCAGAAAATAACAAAATGTTGTCATCGAAGTACAGAGAGAATGGGTAAAGGTTCATTTTATCCATTGGCTATTCTTTTTGGGGACAAACCAAGAACTTTTCGACGTGAATGTTATTTCTCAAGAGATACAGAAGGTGTAAATTTATATCTGCGTTTAGGAGCGGTTGGTAAGTTATTATTAACAGTTATTCATTGCAACTGTTTATTGTTATTATTATTTGTCCTTTGGGATCCTCTCTCTCTTCTCTCCAGGATTTTCAACCTGCCGCCAAGAATAACTACAATCTTCATTTCTTCCTCATATCATCTCCTCCATATCACACTCGGCTGCCACAACAAAACTCATCGTCTCCCCTTCCCATTCCACTCCACAGCCTCGCCTCACGCACGATGTCCACAGTCGGCCTCATCAGTGCATACCTAATACATCTCCAATTCCTTCCAGTGCATATTTCACGAGCATTTGGCTCCTGGTTCCTTCGTTCCAAGACCACAGATCCGTGTTTCTCATTCCTTCTGGCTATCTGATCCTCAGTATCAAACCAGCATACACAGGTGTTCATGAATATCTGTACTTTGTTGGAAATGCATTTCGTAACACTCCAAAATTCTGAACCATAATAAAGAAGCACTGAATCGACTGAATTGATGCTGAAAATCCTCATCTTGTTCTTTGTGCTGAGTGGAGTGAAGTAGATCTGCACACTGATTTCAGGTTGATAAACTCCTGTCATGCTTTTCCGATCCTGCCTGGCTTCGACATACTCGTCTGTGCCACATGTAGTTGAAATGATGCTGCCCTGATAGGTATGTGAAAGAGTCTACTTCCTTCAAGTTTCTCCAGTCACTGGTGATTACAGCTTGTTGTTGTTGTTGTTGATGGTGGTGTTGGTGTTGGTGGTGGTGTTGGTGTTGGTATTGGTTGGGTATCATCATCACCTCTGTCTTCTCTACATTCACTTGGAGTGCCGTCATCGCTGACCTCCCTCTTCTTTCAACTTGTTGCATTTCGCCTGTTGATCTTCAAGTGTGTGTGTGTGTGTGTGCCACACAAGACATAAATCATCGTTGGCAAAATCCACATCTTCTACAGTCTTCTCATTGGTCAAACAACGTATGCCTATCTTCTCACTCCTCACAGTTTTCTGCATGATCCAGTTGAGTTGACCACAGCCAAGAATATATTATCGGGTGATGGTGGATAGCCTTGTCTTACCTGTCAACTTGTTTTCACTTCGAAGGCGTTGTTGAGCTTTCTATTGTGAATTACTTGGCATGTGGTATCTTCATATAGTTGTTGAATTAGGTTGATAAAGACTTGTGGTATTCCATAGTATTGAAGCAGTTGCCAAATTACTTCATAGCATTTTTTAGGATCAAAGATAATATCCACGTTAGTTGTGTAATATGATTAAGTCAGCCTATAAGTAGTATGATACTCAAATGTCTTAAATCTTCACTTTGAGTAAATTCTTGGTAGGATGCCAGCTTATTTGACGTTGGGCTTTCAGCTATACTTGATTCCTGAGGACTTATCACTCTATCGAATCGTTCACGTCAAAGTAGAAGTAACACCGTTTAAAATACAAACACATTTTTCGAAAAATGTTTTCCATCGATTTTGGTTACTGAAAATATGATAGATTAAGTTTGGAAGTTTGTGGGGATTAATTGATTTCACGGTGGAAAACACTATAAATTGGCATCAACTGAAGAACCATAGAAAATAAGGAGGGAACTTGACAGCTGTTTTCATTTCTGGCATGGTTGTGGTTGGAACAACTATCCAGACTCTACAAGTTTCCATTCATTCTCCAAATATCAGTCCATGCTAAATACCGCTTTGAAATATAACAGATGTATGGCAATCACAAACATTCTTGTTGGAGCAGTATCAATACCTGTACGTAGTATCATTGTCTACGCAAAGACATAAAACTGGAAACTCTACACACTGCTAAGATATGGAAGATGAAGAGACATAGGTCTATTTAGAAGATAATGTCACATAAAGTACTATTTTGGAATTTTTCAAGCTTTTGGTAAACCTGTTTATACCTTAACTACTTTTTAACTGCTTATTCCTATAACAAACGTTGAAACGCTTCCCATGTACATGAATTCCTTACGAATGGATAACTGATGCAAATCTACTTAATCCTTAGTATCCTCAACGTTTACGGAAGTTTATTGATCATGATGTTATTCAACATGCTTTCATAGGTTGACAAAACTACTTCCATTCAGAGAGAAGGTAAGAAACATTTGGGCTGACCAAAATTGATGAAGTTGTTAAGACTACTCAAAGGTTAACTATTTATATAATGTTGAAATTAACATTATAGAGAAGATAACAAAAAAATTCGGAGGGGGTTGTATATATGTTTTCCTAGAGTTATTCAAAGTAGCATCATATGCTTAAGTACGCGTAATAAACAATTAAAAGATTTTCATCATATTCAGTAATAAGAAAAAATACAACTCGGAAAACATTTAAAGTTGATTAAAAAATAGGTGAAAAAAAAGAGAACCATGAGGTTGGAAAGACTTTGTATCAGCAAATCCGGGAGATAAAAAGTGTCAAAGTAAGACAAGATTAACAAGAATATATTTCTGAAAATTTAGACCAGGTTGATTGAAACTATTCCACCACAAAGATGGGTTTCAGTTATTTATTGGTCGGTTTCAATGGTTTTGATAGGTCGACTTTACATCTAGTAACAAGCAAATAGAGAACAGTTATACAATTTAAACCCTGTGAATCCTTAAGACTCAAATTCTTCGCAATATTATCCTATGGATTGTAAAGTAGCTAATGGCGAATTCATGAAATACACGCATTCTAATGTATTCTGTTATTCTTGTTTCATTCTGATTCTTAACTTCTAGCATATTTCTCATGTGTCTAGTCTCAGTTTTAACAAAAATTCAATTTCCTAAGACTTTCTACTCTTATCAAAATCGAATGTCAAAGTAAATATCCGCATATAACATTCATGAGATCTAGTAATTCAGATTGATGGGTTTAGGAGAAGATTTGTAATTTGGTTGTAATACTATAATTTGCAGTTGCTACAACACAACGGAGTGCCACAAGTCCTTATCAACCTAATCCAACAGCTAGATGAAGATGCCACATGCCAAGTAATTCACAATAGGAAGCTCAACAACGCCTTCGAAGTGAAAACAAGTTGACAGGTAAGACAAGGCTATCCACCATCACCCGATAATATATTCTTGGCTGTGGTCAACTCAACTGGATCATGCAGAAAACTGTGAGGAGTGAGAAGATAGGCATACGTTGTTTGACCAATGAGAAGACTGTAGAAGATGTGGATTTTGCCAACGATGATTTATGTCTTGTGTGGCACACACACACACACACTTGAAGATCAACAGGCGAAATGCAACAAGTTGAAAGAAGAGGGAGGTCAGCGATGACGGCACTCCAAGTGAATGTAGAGAAGACAGAGGTGATGATGATACCCAACCAATACCAACACCAACACCACCACCAACACCAACACCACCATCAACAACAACAACAACAAGCTGTAATCACCAGTGACTGGAGAAACTTGAAGGAAGTAGACTCTTTCACATACCTATCAGGGCAGCATCATTTCAACTACATGTGGCACAGACGAGTATGTCGAAGCCAGGCAGGATCGGAAAAGCATGACAGGAGTTTATCAACCTGAAATCAGTGTGCAGATCTACTTCACTCCACTCAGCACAAAGAACAAGATGAGGATTTTCAGCATCAATTCAGTCGATTCAGTGCTTCTTTATTATGGTTCAGAATTTTGGAGTGTTACGAAATGCATTTCCAACAAAGTACAGATATTCATGAACACCTGTGTATACTGGTTTGATACTGAGGATCAGATGGCCAGGAGGAATGAGAAACACGGGTCTGTGGTCTGGGCACGAAGGAACCAGGAACCTAATGCTCGTGAAATATGCACTGGAAGGAATTGGAGATGCATTAGGTATGCACTGATGAGGCCGACTGTGGACATTGTGCGTGAGGCGAGGCTGTGGAGTGGAATGGGAAGGGGAGACGATGAGTTTTGTTGTGGCAGCTGAGTGTGATATGGAGGAGATGATATGAGGAAGAAATGAAAGGTTGTAGGCAGTCGTTTTGTCACCTTGAGCAGACTGGAGAGAAGAGAGTGTAGTGGAAACGTGCTTTATGTCCCGATGGGAACCCAAGGGAGAAATGACAAATAATAGAAATTTTTCAGGCGGTCGTAATAGTCAAGTTATTAGTCTGCCAGCATTACCATCAAACAATCTACTCATGATATAGAAAAATAGGAATACGGCCAAAATCGCGTCAACTCTGGAGTATTTAATAGATAACCAATAGGATTTTAATGTCATCCGTAAGGGCATTGAAAAGGAATAACCAAAGAGAATATCGTTGTATACGCAAGCACTTTCATGACTTCACTCATCACTCATAAACCTATGTATATGTCAGCCGCCTTTCTGAGTAGTCACATATCATCACAGTCTTGATATGGTGAAATCTCTTCTTCAATATCTTTAAAACACATGAATGATAAACAAAAACGTGTTATTAGGCTAAGAATTAGTGGTTATTAGTAGGCTGTTCTGAGGAAAATTGTCCCAATGGATGAAATATTATCTTTACAATCTTTCACTAAAATCTGTTTGTTTGTTGACCTTCTCACTGTCACTAACTGACTTGTTTCACTCCGATATACAGTTTTCTGTTGTGTTATTTAGGCAAAACCTTCCATATATAAGTAACAATTTATTCCATCAAAAATTATTGAAATTAGTTTTAAAAAACAGTCACTGTTGGGTCATAGAGGGTCAACAGTATCAAGTCATTACCTAAATATTCACTTACGTCAGTTAGCCTGGTGTACAGCTAACTAGATACTATCATTTCAATGCTTTCAATCAAACAAGTTGTAGATACAATAAAGCCAACGAACATAATTCCACAACTTCTAAATAACCATCAGAAACATTGACTTATCCAGAGATATTCGCTTGAACAAATGCTTAACACCAACAACTTGGTAGTTCATGGCCAACAGTAAAATCCAGAATATGTGTTTCACCCTATATGAGACTCAGCAGCTGAATGTATCTACCTCTCAGAGAGATGATCATCTTACTGAGACTCAACCCCTGGTTGTTAAATTTACCATCATTCAGCTGTGAAATAATAAATTTATTTATTATATGTGAAACAATTTTTCTGTTGCTTCTTCTATCCAAACCAAGGCTTTGGTTTCGGAGTGATGATATTCGACGGTTTCAAAATAGCTGAACCATGGGAAGAGGTAAATATCAATACAGTTCCTTGTCATGGACATTTATGGATTCCACTACATATACTACACTTCATCTACGTGTTCTGGCAGACATACTTTCTGTTCAAACATCATCGGGTAAGAAATATACTCAAATAACGACAACAATTGAATAATCCTATTATAATTTTCACCGTATGTATGTATCATGAGATTTTACGGTTCCCAATTACCTTAGCATGTTATTCGTAGAACTACAACTGTTCTCATGCCCATTTGAAACACACTAGTCACTTGATTGATAAGGCATTTAAAAGCCCCCCTAATAACAACAGGAATAACCAATCACACTTATTTATTTGATGTGAGTCTATCTTTGCAGCCGAAATCGGGGATCCTAATTGGATATTTCAGTCATCGCTAGGGTACCCCCCGAAAGTCACTTGATTATCCACCCCAACCTCTATCAAATAAAAGATAAGATTGATACTCACTATTTTCTCTTGTGATCAGTTTCATATATTTATTCACTGATTAAGAGTTTGAACAAACATGAGCAATAAAAAGGAACTTATGAGTTGATTTAATGGCTAAATGCTGGTAACAATTACGTTTAAAAAATAAGGGAAAACAAAGGAAAAATAAAATAGGTAAGCTGAAAGACTGCAAGATGACACTCACAGTTTCTGGATGTTCAGATAAGTTATGTAGAAGTAGAGAGTAGAGGAAAAAGTTACAGGAATTTCTTCTGTGCATGCAGATAAAAGTCACATATCCTTCTCTAATGTCATGAATCAACATATTAGTGTATAAACTTTGAAGATAACACGATAATTTGTTTGTTGTTGTAGACTTCAGATGCATCGAAAACTAAAGTCAGTGATTAGTGCGTATCCATCTTACCTACCGATGAAACAGTAAACCATAGGATTCCAACCCAGTGGGTGAATTTTTGAGCTTTAGAAAATTCCCATCATGTAAATTACAACAAGACATATATAAGCGAACAACATTGTTTTCAACTACATCCTCCTCAGACTTTACTCTAATACAAACAGCTTAATGTATATAAAGTCATGGTGGAGAGTATTTGTAGCTCAGGTGGATGGTCTTGGTTGTATTGTGTTCTCTGAGGAGTTGCGTTGTTTAATCGTGAAGAAGCTTTCATCGTCCTTCTAAACAGTGACATCATCAACACTAACTTCGGTATGAAGTAAGCTGTCAATATCTCTTTATGAGTGGTTTAGTAGCTCTCAGAGAGTGACAGCTAACAGGAAAATCTATGCAGTTAGCCAGTGACACAACAATCAAAGGAAACAACCAATCATAGACTGCTTCGTCAAGGCAACTTACTGAACTACTCACGGACAGATACTGACAACCGACTTCATACTGAAGTTAGTGTTGATGATGTCGTCGTGAAAGACAATGAAAGCTTCAGGATTAAACAACCCAGCTCAGAGAACACAATGCAACCGAGATATATAAAGTCAAAGCGATCATGTAGATTTGTCGGTTGATGTGATAAATGTTTTAAAATGACACTGCTGATAATACTACAGATAATAATAATCATGATAAAATTGATAACACTGACTAAAGCATATGTAATATAGATGATAATGATGATAAGAACGAAGAGATCAGCATGAAAATGTAGACACTTTGATGATGAAATTGGATCGAGAGCTAGACAAATTGGATGATGTGAATGTGAATGGAGAACATATGATGTGGCTTGATATCTCATCATTATTCACTAATGTGCCATTACTGGAGATGAAAGAGTTTGTATGTCAACAAATGTCGTGAGGGTATATCAACATCAGGATTCATGTGAACATTCTCAATGATCTGTTTCTTAAATGTACTATGAGTGTACATTTTGTCTTCAATAGCTCTTATTATGGGCATGTCCTATTTCAGCTGATATATTTGTTGGCAAAGTGTAGAATGGAGGATTGGAAGGGGTCATTAAGGAGATGACTGTGCATCGTCGTTATATTGATGACACATTGATTATCCTGGAGGAGAATGTGGATAGAAATGAGGTGTTAGACTAATTTGATGAAGTGCACTGTTCACTGACTTCCAGTTGTGAGGAAGAAAATGCCATTAAGCTACACATTTTGGATGTTTTGGTAAGCAGAAGAGAAGATGCTTCACTCAGCGGACGCGTTTAGAGGAAGAGTTCATCTATTTGCTTGCTATGAGGTCTCACACTCCTCAGCTTTATCTTCCTCAAAGTCATGGGTGTGTACTACTGAGGAAACCGAAACCAGGGGAAAACAGTTGTCCAATCAATACCCCACAATTTTTAATGTTTTCCTGATTAATGTCTTTTTGAGATCAGTGGGGATTTTTAATTTAGAAGTAGTATTCATCATGGACTGACATTATTTGGAGAACCATTGAAAATCTGGGAGCACTGGACAGCTGTTTCGTCTTAGTATTGGTCGTGGATGCGTCTGCTGAGAAGTCTCATACTAGTCGGACGAAACAGCTGTCCAGTTCTCCCAGATTTTCAATTGTTCCCCAACTAATGTCAATCCATGATGAATACTACTTCTAGATTTTCTGATCAATGTGAATCCATGATGAAAACTAGTTTGAAATCAATCAGTCCCTACAAACTCAGTGAATTAATTTATTCAACTGACCCTAGTCACCATTTTTAGTCTCTGTATAAAATGCATTCACAAGTAGATCTGTTATCAGAGTATTCAAGGTATACTGCATATATTCATCACACTTCTCAGATAAACTTTATCTGCTCATTATATTCTGAAAGTTATCTTTCACTTGATCAAAAGCAGTCAGTCGACTGGGAAATAATATTCAGAAACTCGAAGTATAGAAAGCCCTCTCAACAGGTATAACAGACAAAATCTTCGGTTGAGTATTTCCCTCGTTACACTTCCATCTATCTGAAGTTTCATGACCTGTAAACTATTTTGAATGGTCAAAGATCCAGAACTTTTTCTCAATTTATCCGTATGTCTTTTATATACATGGTTGAAGCTACGGAAATCCTAGCAAATATTTCTAGTTAGTGTTGATAAAATGGTTCCTCGTAACTTATCTCTTCTTTGGCATTTAAATCACTGTTGCATCTTCATGTACACTTTCATATTATGTTACTAACCCACTTTCTTAAAACAAAAAAATGATTATCAAACGGCTGTAAGATAAGAATCCTTACTCTCTTCCTGATAATTCATCACCTTCATATACCTACTACATTTGGTATGCAGGTACACTGGGGTGACAAGTCTGCAATAGGATAAAACTCATCTTTGAGATTTCATTGATAGCCCCCACCACCAGCCGGATTACCTCATAGCCTACTTTTGATTACGTGCCTTTTTCGTCGTTTAGTATTATGTATTTTGACCTTCTCTAAACACCTGATCAACTTTAATTATGAGCGTTTGCAATCTATTTTTGTTTTCCCCATATTTTCTACAATCACCTAGTTGGTGACTGTTTTCGCCATCACTGTTAGTATGATTATTATGGTTAACAGCATAATCTAACTTGTTTACTGTTAAAGTATGGATCATTATTATTATTATTTGTCCCTTGGGTTCCTAGTGAAACATAGGGCTTCAGTAGCACGCCACCACTTCACTCTATCCTCTTCTGTCTTCAAACCTCGCTCCACAACTACCTATAACCTTTCACTTTTTCCTCACACAATCTCCTCCATGTCATCCTCGGACACCCAACTCAGTGTCTCTCATCTCGGGTCCCATTCGACATCCTGTCCTGACACGTGGTGTCCTCAATCCATCTTCTCACTCTATATCCTATCCAATCCATCTCCAGTTTCTTCTTCTGCATATTTGTTATGCCACAGCTTCTTGCTTGGTTCGTTGCCAGACCAGAGTTCCTCTCAGCTTATTCTTCCTAGACATCTCATATCCAGTATCGAGTGTAGGCGGCAGGTGTTCATGTATGTCTGCAGTCTTTTGGAAGGAAATACTTTTCATAAGGCTTCAAATCTCTCAACCATCACAAAGAAGCAGTGACTTGACTGACTTAGTGTTGAAAATCCTCATCTTGTCATTTATGTTGAGTGCCATGTAGTACAATGCAGTATATCTTCACATTGATTTCATGTTGGTGAAGGCATGCCTTGCTCTCTTTCTGTTGCCAGCTTTGACATCCTCATCTGTGACTGTGCCGCCTGTAGTTGAGACGATACTGTCTAGGTGGGTAGGTGAAAGAGACAACTTCCTTTACTTTTCTGCTGTTTATGGTGACTGGTGCTTGTTGTTGTTGCTGTTGTTATTGTTGGTTGAGTATCTTCATCATCTGTGTCTCCTTCGTGTTCATGTGAATAAATCCCGTCTTCTCAGACCTGTCTGTTCTGTCAACTTGTTGGTTTTCACCTGTAGATCTTCGAGTTTGTGTAACATTAGACATAAATCATCGTTGGTGAAATCTAAATTTTCTAGGACTAGATTATTATTCACATAAGTATGTAGAGCTGTCTCTTAGAGCAAACACTGAAGAGGATATGTTTGTTTTACGCTAATGAATCGCACTTCGTTTGTTATATCCAGTAAACGAAACAACTATCCAACTAGCTAACTAGGCATATTTATAGAATTCAGGGTTAGAATTCAACATTATTTTGTTAAATAAGCTGAGCATTGAGTAAATGGATTATAAGTGAATTATATTTTATAAATCCTTAATAAATTTCTGACTATTGGTAATGTTGTATAAATCGCTTTAATATCAGACAATAAATAGAACCTGTACTAGTTATCATATGTTTAAACAGTAAATGGTGACAAATTACATCACGTTGTTTATATATGACAATGATACGGGAATAAGTGTAATTATGATCATTTATTGGTTTGTGAGTTCAAAGTGAAGATATAAAAATGCGCCTACATGTAAATAGGTGTGACGGTGTGAGAATAATACTATGTTCGAAGGTATATTTGTTGGGTGATAGATTCTTGGTTCCTTCGTGCCCAGACCACAGATCCGTGTTTCTCATTCCTCCTGGCCATCTGATCCTCAGTATCAAACCAGTATACACAGGTGTTCACGAATATCTGTAGTTTGTTGAAAATGGCTATCGTAGCGCGCAAACTCTCTCAACCATCAAATACAAACAC